TTGCCTGGCTGGCCGCCCGGGCCTCCTGTGTACAGACTGCCCAGCTGTCCCACCCAGCCTCTCCCTGGTCGTCTGGGCCCCTCTGGGTGGGTGGCATCTCCCAGAGAGTGATGACAATCTCCCTGCACACGTAATGCGTGTGGTGCTGCTCCATGTGCAAGGCCCCATCACAAGTATGTTTCCTCTCTCTTCATCGCTCTGTCTTTGTCTGGGACTCTGGATCCTAACCACTTCCCTCCTGGACCTGGCAGTGGCATTTAGCCCAGGGGAGATCTCATTAAGCATAAAAAAGAACACACTAACATCTAGAGCTTTCCCAAATGAAGAATGGGGGCTGTCCCTCAGCACACCTTCTTTCTAGTGGCCCACGTGGCTCCATTAGCCAGAGGCTATCACCAGCTATAGCTGATTGACAGTCCCCTGGAGTCCTATTTTTGTTGTTCCCATTGTTGCCTATTGGGCATTTTTCTAACTTCTTTGGCCTCTTCTCCTAAAGTTGCATAGAGAAAGGACCTCCTGGGCTGCCTTCTGTCCCTCCCAGGTGAATAGGAACAGGCTGCATTCGGCTTGCCAGTGGTGAGGGCATTTGGGGAGGATCGGCTGTGACCTGGCCCCTGGAGCCCATCATCCCTGCCCCCAGGGGCGTCAGGATCTGGGCTAGTGGGTAAGAAAGGGCTCTCAAAATCAGAGCACTGGACTGGTCCAGTGGTAAGAGTATCAGGGCCCTTGGGGCCAGCTCCCTGCATGTCTCTGAGGGACATGGCCAGTGTGAGCACCTGCCTATTTTTTAGTCTCCTAGGATAATGGCAGCTGCTGGGAGTTGGACAGGCCAAGGTGGCCGCATCATATAAGCCCTCTGAGAGGCGCTGAATAGGCTTTTTTGCTCTAAAAATAAATAGCGGCCCTTTTTTGGTCATAAATCTAGCATCTTAGCAGAAAACTGCCTGATGTGAAAAGTCCCCTAAGGAGCAGCATCTGCCATTAAGGGAGATTTTTTTTTTTTTTTTTAATGTAGTTTGTGCATACTTCAAGGCCTCGCCATCTTCTGGCGTCTTGGAGCCAGCCTTCTGGAACTGGAAGCAGACTTGAGGAGGTACAGTTCACCATCAGCAGGCCCAAGCAGCTTTAACTGCCTCAAACTGTCCTTGGCCTTGGGTTCTAGCTTCAGCCTCCTACCCCCAACCTCTAGGGTCCTACTGTGATGCTCAGAGTCCCAGGCTACATTCTGGTCCTCTGGCCATTCAGCTTCCAGTCAAGCTCCATTTGCCAAACAGACTATTTTGAGTTGCCCTTTGGCCTGTGCCTGATATGTTCCCAGTGCAGCTCTGCCTAGCTGAGGCCAGGGGGCTTCATGCCCAGAGATTCCCAAAGGACAGTTGGGAAGTGGCTGGCATTGTCTTTCTGGGAAGATTCTGACGTCTTGGAACAAATGGAGGCCTGGATTCCCAGTGTTGGCCTGTGTGATGCCCCACCCCTTCCCACGCTTGTACATGGGCTGTAGCCACAGACTACAGGGTCCTTGCACCCTTGCTTTTCAGGATCCTGTCCTCCTTGCCTGTGGGTTTTCCATCTGGCAGAGAACTTGATCTTTAGACTTGAGCTCTCACCAGTGCCCCAAGAACAGAGCAGAGGGTAGTGCCCACTCTTTATTGAAGACCCCTGTGCTCAGGCAATGGGAGGTGCCATCTGGGCCTCAACTCACCAGCTGGCTTTGGGGCCTAAGCACTTGCTGAGGGGTAGGAGGCCCAGGTATCCACTGGTGCCAAGACTCCCTAGTTAGTTCAGTTTCGGGGCTTCCTCTTCCCTGCCCTTACCCTCCATCCTGTCTCCTTCCCTTGATTTGGGGGTGTGTGGGAGGAGGAATCAGTGTTTTAATCAGATTTTACAAAAACGTTTTAATTCTTTGTACAATTACCATCCTATGTAAAGATGACATTTGTGTTGAGTTCAAGATTTTCATGGAATAAAGATCACACAGTACTTGAGGCCATCTTCATGTAACCCTTTCCTAGAGAGTTTTGTGTGGGGGTGTCTTGGGGCTGGTGTGTCATGAAGCCGTGCACTTCTGTCTTGTCTTCCTACCAGTCACTCCAACATGAGGCTCAGGCCACATGAGCCAGATGCATTCTCCCAAACAGGTTCCAGCACCCTTGGTCCCCACCACCACTCCTTTTAGCCCTCTGGTCCTGAAGGTATGCTTTGTGCCTCTAGCCTCTCTTCCACTCTAGGCCTGCCCTGCCTGGCACTGCCATGGAGCCCTGGAATATTCCCAGTGACCTTTCCAAAAAAGCCAAGATTTGTTCCCTGGAACTCCCAGGGTCCCATTGCACTTTGTCCCCATGAGTTTTCATATGGGTCTCTCTCTGCTCAGGACCCAAGGGAGATAGGACTCAGAGCCACAGTCCCTCTTGTATGGTGGGAAAAAGTGTTTCCCCAAGCACACAAGATGACAGACCACCCCACCCTGCCCAGCCCTCTCCCCATGACTGTTTTCAGAATTTACCCACTGGCCCCCAAAAGCATGACCAGTGTATGAGCAACCGTCCCCAGCCCCCCTCAACCTGCAGTTTCTGTTCATGGAATTGATACTGAGAGAGGATCCTGTCTGGGAGGAACACCCCAGCCTCTTCTACTTCTTTGGTGACCTCTCAGCACTGAGCTTTCTTCCAGCTTGTGCAGGGTCCCTTTGGTTCTGGACCCTAGCCTCTTCAGTACAGTGCTTCCCCTGGCCCCCTACCATGTAGCTGCCAGACCCTGTTGCCTTGATCCTGCAAACCGCCTAAACTGCCCCCTTTTGTATGTCTCACCCACAATAGTGTCCCTCTCCCCAAGTTTCCTACTATGACCCAGAGTCCTGAGCCCTGTCTCCTGGAATTTCCGGTGTCCCAGTTTGGGGCTGGGCCTATGATTCTCATGTCCCAGGTGTCCAAGTTGCTGCCACTTGTATGAGGATGTGTGTCTAGCTGCTGAGGTCTCTGTTGCTGTCTTGTCTCTCATATGGAGTGGTGAGCTCTTGCAGGGCACCAGGTCCCTTATCCCTTTGGGTGGCACATGGTACCCTGCGGCCATGCACTTCACAGAACCTTAGCATGGCACTTCGTGAAGCAGCTATGAACGGAGGTGGCCCTGCTTTGGGCAAAGCCTATGTCTTCTGACCCCAGCAGCAAGAGCCAGCACCCTGGCAAGGAGCTCGGGATGCCAGGCAAAGGTGACAGGAGTTCAAAAGGTGCTGTGGGTTTCAAGCTCCCACCCGATGGTTGCAACGTCGTCATTGCCTAGCCCATAAGCACTGGCCGGCCTGCTCTCCCTCTCTCTGGGGTTTGCATACCAGTGGAATTTGGCAAGGGGCATCCAGCTGGCAAGTTTATGCTGGCTCTTGCGTACTCACAGATGTGTCCACAGTGGCGGCAACAAGCTGTTGGCCTCTGAGGAGTCGGGGCACATACTGCCTTCTCCCTGCAGCACATCCACAGTAGCAACACTTGAGTTTTTCTGAGGCCCCTCTCCCAAGAGGAAGGAGAAGCTGGCCATGGCATTGAGCATCTCCCCATTTGCTCCTGGTGGTCCCTGGGAGGTTTGCTGGCTGGCCAGCCTCCTTCCTTTCTTCCCTTAATGTACTTACACTGTGGCCTTCCCACATGTCAGCACTCTCCTCACCTGCCCCATGGCTCTGTGGTCAGACCTTGGCCCAAACCTGCACCACTATCTCACCCTAACTCAATATATTTGTCTCCCCCTGGAGAGATGGGAAGGAGTGCACCTCAAAGAGCACTGTCGTTGGAGGCAGCTGTGTGGCTACTTTACAACTGTGTGACCCAGCGCAAATCCCTTAACCTCTGAGCCTCACTTTGCTCATCTGTCAAATGTTTAGCTATTTAGAATGCCACAGTTGTTCCAAGACAGCAGGTTGGGTTGCAGACACTCAGGTTGTCTTAGTGACCTCTCACCAGAAAGTAACGGGAGACATTGGGCAAGGAGGTCTCCATAACTCAAACCCCAGTGCCCTGGGTATTATTCTTTAATGGCGCTGGGGTTGTGCAGGGAGGCTTTTCAGGCATGGTACCAGCTAAGAAAAGTAGCAGGCAAATGAGTAGGTGACACTCCACATTGTCTTTTTCCCATGACGGACTCCCATACCAGACAGAATCCAGCCATTGTTACTGGTCCTTCTCCTGAACTCACCCTGTTTTCTCCTAATTCTGCATCCCAGGTAGTTCAGTCTTCTCCCCTGGGCCTCACTACCTTCTCTTTTCCTTCACAGAGATGGCTCCGAAGTCAAAAAAGAAGGGGCACCCTGGGAGGGAGCAGAAGAAGGTATGTGATTGCAGAGGTGTCTTCCCTCAGGGACGTGGTGGTCACCCACTTCTGTGGGCCCCGGGGGGACCCTGGGGCTGGCCTGGGGGTTTCTGCCTGCCTGACGTCAGCCTGTCTGTCTGTCTGTCTGCAGCACCATCACCACCACCACCAGCAGCTGCAGCAGGTCCCGGGCCCTGGGCCCCAGCAGCCCCCACCACCTCCCCAG